CTGTGTCCACGTCCTGCACCATGGGGAAATCGGGAAATCGTGAAACCGATCAGATGCGCATCGATTAGCTTCATCAGTGGGAGATCGGAGAATAATAGATGCATCTAGTCATTTTCGTGGACACCCTGATTTCCAGACTGGCACTTATACTTGGCAAAAATGCTTTTGCCCCGACTCTCCGGCCTAGGATATGAAAGTGGCTTTGTTAATTGTTACAGCACGAAAAGACCTACTTAAGGGCAATTTTGTCGATTTGTTATTGAAGTTTCTTTGCAGGTGTAGTTACTCCAAATGGTAGCGTAACCGCTCGGCAGTTGTCAAGAGCTCATTGTATAGATAATACTGACGAGGTGCGACTCTGCGACTCTTTGCATCTTTTCTTACTTGTTTTCTTTTTTTTTACTCATCTGCCGAGCACACTTTTTAGGTTAACCGAATACGAGCGTCACACCCAACATCGGAAACTCACGTCCTCCGTGGTGGAAGACTCCTGGGTGAACTCTACCCATTGCGTGCATTTGGTGATGTGCGGTTTAAGTGGCCTTTAGATTTACAAAAAGTACTGTTTATGATTCGCTTTCTGAATTGTTTACTAGTACTTTGTAATCGTTCTGACATTTTTAGGTTGTTTTAGAACCGCTAGGTAATCCAGCTCCTCCCAATCTTCACACTCCACCCTACCTGACGGTATCACCGGAGGTTTTCTACCATAAACTCACGGCTAACGACAAGTTTTTGGTGTTAGCATCGGACGGTTTGTGGGAATGGCTCGATCCGGACACTGTTGTTCGACTGGTATACGACCATACAGTCGGCACGATGACGCTTCTTCCGTACCAACCGAAGAGTGGCTCGACACTTAAGCAGGTAAGGCTTTTCGTTAATGAATGAAATGAACGCTTTTGATGACTTATGGAACGTACAGAGAGAGTGAAAACGTATATCATTGGACTTAGTTTGTGAAACAAGAGGACCAGTAAGATCCTGAAGTTGGCATCTTGCCAGGAAATCGATAACAGTTGTATTCAGTTAGCGGTGTTTTTTTTTCTGCGAGACATTACACTTCGAAATCCGTCAGGGCGACGGACATTTGTCAATGAACATAGTACTCAGATCGAAGTCGAAGCGTAAGAGAATATTATCCTTTCCTCCTTGTTAGAATCCTGCTACAGAACTGTGTGGGTCAATTTACTTACCGTACCCGATCCATTCCTTGTGATATTCATCACTTATCTTAATAAATCGGTTTGATATCTTGATAATATGGACTTTTCGAAGCGCATGAGCGGTAGTAAGAATCCTGCAGAATCCGTCTAAATGCAAAAGGATCATTTTGAGAGTCTTGAGGTTTCTATCATTACTCGCCGGTGGGGAGATGTTTTTTTCAAGTCTCAATTCCGGGAGAAAATAAAGATTTTCGGGATCGAGGAATCCCCTTCGCAGCTATCCCCGGCCTTGGTTTGATAATCACAATCAGTCCTGGAGCGGAAAGGCCATGGTGCTATCTGCCACAAAACGCGAGAACGCCGCCGTCCAGCCAATTTGTCGTCTCGCCGCCCGGCGCCATAAAATGGCGTTGCGTAGGCGTTAAGCGATAGTAAATTTTGCGTGTAACAGGGTATACCCGGTCAAAATTAACGACCGATTCCACTCGAAAATATAAGTTATCTTCTAAGTGGTGTAACTACGATATAACGGGGGACCCACATCAAATTCGAAGTGATGACATCTGCGGACCTAATACTGTCAGCAACAGAAGCGCCATGCAAGATATTTCTCATGAAAGTTGTAGAAGGCTAGCCGTTGATCATAGTTCCTCAGTTCGTTCGTTTTTGGTGCTACTGGATCTCCAAGAGCGGAAACTTGGTGAAAAAAGTCATAAGAAGCCTATAGATGAGAACTGTGCCACGCACATTATAAGGCACGCATTGGGCGGCGTCAGCGGTGGTGAAAGCAAGCAGTATGAGAGGCTCATTGATATACTGCAGGTAAGCGAGTAGAGCATAAACGGAAACGTGATTCCAGTCGTTTTTGCTGCAGTCGCTGGAACGTGTCAGGGGCTGGGTTTTCCGCAGCGCCAGCCCGTTCTTCACCAATTGCTGAAGCGGTCAAGCGACAACAACTGGTGAAGAATAGGAATGGCACGCGCCGAACCCAGCATTCCGCCCCCTGACACGCCCAGCGTCTGCAGCGGAAGCGACTATATAGCGATATCTTCGTGTTTCAGGTTCCGCCTGGACGAGCACGGAACTACCGTGACGATATCTCTATTATAGTGATTCACTTTAATGAGAAATATTTGGAAGAAGCGGATGAATCATCCGTTCCAGCCGAGTCGATAGAGATGCAAGCTAAATAATGTACAAAATAGAGACAAAGTATTACTACTGTAACTAACACTACCTTTTTTGTGCTTTTCGTGTTTGTATTTTGGTGTATAGGAATCGTATTGAATGGCCAGAAGCCCCGTGACACATATGAGCCAAATGATTCGATTAGACTCCATGCAAACAAGTACATTATGTATCACGAGTTGTTATAACTTTGCCTTCTCTACTCTGCAGTGACGTGAGAGTTTTAATATTACTGTATGCCAATTTCTATAGACGGGCTTATATAATGTGGCATAAACATGAAGCTGCTTAAGATTTACCGATCCGGTTAAGGCGCGTACCATTCGCAACAGAACCTGAATTTTTCAAAGCGGCAACCTGCAGTGTGTCAAGTCAGAAATGTTCTGTTAGTTTGCACCGTGGACCGTGTCAGTTTCCGCAACGTGGATGTGCTGACCTACGTCCCCTCCCCCTCTTCGGTCCTTGGGATTTCTCAACCGCGCAGCGCCCCGTCTAGGCGTGCTTTGACTCCTATGTCAAAACATTCTTGAGAAAGCGGCACATTAAAGGAAAGTGATAGTAGCCTAGGGGTTGCGCGTTCCAGAAGCAGGTGTGCCGTATATCCTCCCATACTCACGATACAACTTGATGGGATTCGCCCTTCATTTTTCCAGGGTCACAGCACGAGAGCAAAAGTGCTGATCACATTTCGGTTCATTTCACTGTACAACTTCACGAGGACTAGCACGCATCGTGTAGATGACAGTGTGTAAATCAGGATTTCTAAACGTGCCTCCAAACTTCGCGATTTTAGATCTATCCGCTAAGTATGAACGCGCTCTAGCCCACGTTGCGGAAACTGAAGCAAACTAATAGCATATTTCCTTGCTGGCTGATTGACATCAGGGCACGTCGTATGTCGGAATCTCCAGCGGGAAGTCGTACTTTGCCTAAAAATTCGTTCTTTGATAGTTGATTCTTCCTGTTAACACGCTCACCATCTACAAAGTTGCCAGACTCCCATTGGAGGGAGGGAGCCGTATTTTACCTTGCTTTCTCCTATTTCACATGTGCTACGTATATATAGCTCCCCCCACTAGACGGCATTTTTTTGAGGAAAAAACTGGGAAAGCGGTAGTAAGATAGGGAAACTTGGAAAAATTGTAGTTAGGATGCGGGAAGCAGGGTGTATCAAGTTTGAAGGGGGTGAGGCGGGGAGAATCGTATTTTGCAGAAAAAAAATTCTACCGCCAGGAAGTATCCTGCACTAGTTGCCGTTGCGCCGTTGAAAATAATATCCGGTCGTCCAGTTGAGAATACGCGCATGTGTCCCACAGCTTGCAACGGTACCCCTCGACGTTGGCATGGCGTTTCACTTCGACCATGAAAGGCCGTATAAGCCACTAAGTGTAGGACCGGAATTATTCGAAAAACTACAGTACTTAGCTTCGTTGCAGGACCAGCTACCGTACTCCTGTGTTGCATTGCATGCCTTCTAAGCTGGCCTAAATTTACATGCGCTCGATTTTGGATTCTGAGTGAACGGGCGATATGCATTCGTTAAAAAAACGACTATGATACGATTCTGGACAGTCTTTCTGCCTTTTAGTGGGGTTCAGTATGCATATGCCTAGCATTACCTTTTCGTTCCTACTTGCTACATGGATAGAAACTTTTGGAAGGATTTACATCAACTTGAGGGAAGGAAAATTGGTATTTTCAAGCACGGGATGAGGGAAATAGCAAGATATGATATGTGTTAATGTTTTGCGGTTCCTGCTTTGATTTCTCGTGATACAAACGGTAAGGCGCTGTTGAACTACTCCTACCACAACACCTCAAAATTTTTTTGTTCGTGGATACATTTGTCGCGCAGATTTCTCGATGTACTGATCACGAAGTATGGACATTCATTGCCTGGCGCTGGCGCGCATTGAGCGCCTATACGCGTGTCCGGGCTGTGTTTGTTTTGTTTGTTTCAAACCTTTTCTTCCCGAAAGTGATAAAAACTCGGTAATAGCCAGGCGGTTTCGGGCGGAGCGTATGTGATATTCGTGTTTAGGAGGTCGAAGTACCTCTGAAAGCAGATTGTCTTCCAAATCTGACCTTGCACAAAAGGTCGCTAAAGACCGGTGTGATTTCGGGAGATTGTGTAGGAACAGTTCAATATGCCAAAGTTATTTACCCGCCCATTTCCATTTGATTTTTTCAGGGGTTAATCTAGATCCATACTAAGCAACAGGACATAAACAGCTCAACGCCTTAGCGACCGAGTACGTATTCTAGCCTAAGGTCACTGAATGAAGCAATCAAAAATGATCGAAGTTTTAGAATGGATCCTGGGCTATTCAGGATCCATTCTAAAACTCCGCATATCGTTATAAGCTTAAACTTCTAATGTCCACATAACACTTCCTTAGCTGGTCTCGTGGAAAATTGCCTTCCGCAATCTACATCCGCTCACTGAAACCTACAAAAGATTTTGTTCAAGTTGATAAACTCTCTCACTATCCAAGAAACGTATATCAACCACCCTAAATTCAGAAGAAGGCGCACGCGAAATTAGGCCTCTCTATATGGTTGAAAATTCTGAACATACGCTATGTCCCGAGGCAGTACCGGTACGCTGGTCCTCGCAACCGTAAGCTGTTTAGCTGTAGTTTTTCGAAAAATTCCACGGTCTCTACATCTTAGTGGATTCATTGAAGGAATCGCTGTCATTTGTCACATTTTGGTTCCGCAAATCCGATGGGTGTCGGAATTCCGTCACAGAAGAAATTTCTACCGTACGTAGCATCTCCCTGGGACGCAACCATGGTCCCATGCGACTTGGTGAGCGTTCGTACCTTGAACTGCGCGACTCGAACACTAGGGCCTGTTGCAGCAGTCTATTGCTTGGATAGCTTTCATACTTCGCGACACCGGAGAATAGGAGAACAGGGGAATCGGAAACTATGAGAATACGCGCCAAAGAGGGTACAAGTATGAATTTGACGATAGGAGAATAGATGTAGGAGAAAATCCAACAGTTCCTACTTCTACTTCTTTGGCCTCCATCCCTCTACCCTCAAATGTCGCAAAATATGAATATGACTCAAACGTTGGACTGCTACAGCGATGAAGCGTTTCTTCCATGACAGTGCTCACAGAATTGAAAAGCACAGAATAAAAATTTAGAATATTCAACAGTCGGTGTGTTCCATAATTTGTTAACAGTTGTTGCTCCAATATTGTTTATCGCATAGTATGAATGAAAATAAACAATCAGACTGGAGTAGTTGACAACACAAGACATCAAATGACTTGGTAGGAAATGTGAGTTGAAGTATTTACGACTGATAATTATGTTACACCAAAAATTCAATCGAATCGATGAGTCAAGGCATAGACACAGACGAGAAAGCTGGGGCACGATCGCCACGACGGCACGCTGCGTACGTGCCTAGAGTTTTGTTCGCTGCGAAGGCGGGGGCGTGTCAAGGGCTGGGCTTGGCGTGGAGCCAGCCACCCTGACACGCCCTCGCATCCGCAACGAACAAGATTACCTCAGCTTCACTTCGATTTAGCAAGGCTCACCTCAACGCATGTATTGTTGCTGTGGTTGTTGAGGAGGTTGTTGTTGCGAATACATCATCGACTGATCGTAACCTTGCGGTGGATAGCCAGTCGGCATAACCTGTGGCCCACCAACTGGAGCTCCAGGATGCATACCTTGTGGTGGGTACCCGTAACCTTGCGGTGGTCCCATTGGCATACCCATTTGAGGTTGAGATGTTGGTGGCACAGGAGCTGCTTGAGGTTGAACAGGAGGCATCATTGGTGGAGCCATCATTGTAGGAGGCTGTGTTGGCGGAGGCTGTTTCACAGGATATGACGGCGCGACGGTGACAGGTGTCGGAGCTCCAGAAGGAGGACCAGTTTCCGATGAAGGTGTAGGTTGTGCGCAGTTCTCATCGTTTGGAGGATTCTCGTCCTAAATTATAATAATATGGTCAGTGAAATCACAGGAACACTGGTTGAACTAATTCAGCGATTTTTCGCTAACAAGTTACAAAAGCCTATAAAACTCTTCGCAAATATTTGATGATGAGAAATACAAGAAAAAGGAAATGATGACAGGATGATACAAGGAAAATGGGCACGATAGGCGCAGTTCCAAGAAGCCTTCTGTTTTTACACAATTCTTTTCATTCAACCTTTCGCGATGAGCACTCCAGCTGTTCACAAAGGGTTAAATCATGTGGACTGACCAACTGATAACGCACTAGGGTAAGTTTGGGTATGGTGGCGGCCAGGTGTGCTGGTATTAGGCCGAAGTCGCGCTACAGAGCGCAATGACGCTCTGTCAGAGGGTGCAGACGAGCGGCGCACATAACAGTGGTTTGCGTGTGGCTGGCCGTGCGGCGAACGGCGTATTGCGTGTATATCTCGTATGAAATGGAAAACGAAGATGTTAGAACGTAAAACTTCGCAAAATCCCCAGCTACATAATCGCACTTTCCGAGAGTTGGAAACGAACCTTCCTGCGGCTGCTTACCTGCCTACCTCACATGTCGGAAGGACTCGATATTTCCGACAATCACTCAATGTGTCTTTGACTAGCATGACACTACGAGCAGGTACTTTGTCAGCTAGCGAGCACCACACAATTATCTAGTTCCCATAATAGCGGTGATGGTCTTGCTCCTTATGCTTCAAAGCTAAATTTCAAATTTCGCCGTCGATCAATCCCTTTTCGGAATGCGGCGCGCGCTCTACTTCCATATCGTAGTATCTCACTGAATGCTATGGGACTATACAATGACCCGCGGGAGAAACCCGATGTACGAACAAATGCTTTTATCCTCCCAGACGAATCTGGTACCATGACAGGCACTCGATAATCTTGACATGGTGCGGATTCACCCCCTTCAAATCCCGTAACGGTTCTTAACAGAAGCGCCGAACGCTCCATCCTCAAAAAACATTAGAAGTTCAATGAAGATGAGATGTTCGGGAAGTTTCAGTGGAAGTCTCTGTCTGGGAGAAATTGAAAAAAAGAAAATGACCCAGATTTAAGACGTTTCAGAAAGACATAAGCAACGAAGAAAGAACTAGTAGAATGTGGAGAAGGCGATAACTGTCGAGAAGCACGACTGGATCTCTAATAAACATCAAGGAACCTCACCCTCAACTGCGGCAGGAGAGACTGATCGGCTGCTTGAGCAAGGTGTATGAGGTTTCTATGTAGAAGCTGCTGGTATTTGGCCGCCTCTTCGGTGCGCCCCTGGAAGAAAATTATCATATAAAATCAGTAGGGATTAGGGTCAAACAAGGTATATACCGACTTCATAACTATGAACAACTCACCATACTCAGGTAATCTCTTATCGATTTGATCAACGAGGAATTCTCGTTGAGAAGGGCCTGAACAGTACTGCGATGGTCTGGCACGCCCTGGCGCACCTCTGGCGGTGCAAAAGCCAGTGACATGTCTAGATAGGTACGTGCTAACTTACCCCTTGAGAGAGCCTGTCACAAGGAAACTTTGAGAAAACAACGAAAAATATCCTTGGACTCAGGGAATTGCACCGCTTCTGAAGACACATCAAACTACACTCATGCCTAATCTTTATTTCTATCTCCATCAACATCACTTCTTACTGTAAATTACACAATCTATTTAGTGCTGATACGGTATTTCTTGTTCCATGAGAAGTTGGATGCATAACTTTTTGGAGTTATTTTGCGCTCGTGTTCCTTCTAAAAGGGCAAACATAAGAAAATATGATGGACTGAAAATAAGCAAATGGAAACTAAAATCTTGAGAAAATATGAGTACCCGTACCTCTACTTCGTAGGTCCATTTATTCTTCACGCAGAAATCGATAGCATCTTCTTTGCTGGCAAATTTAAGGTTCATGGATATATTCGACAATGGGTCACCCCTAAATAGTTAAGCGTAAGTGTTCTAATGGTGTTAGATCATTATTTAATGAGAGCTAATGAAAATACACCACATTTAATGAGTGCTGGTCCAATAAACTGATTCATATCGGCCTAACCCGTGTTACACGTTTAAAATTGGTCAACTATTTGTGGAGGAGTAATTTTCGTCACGCATAACAAATGCCTTTTCCACTTCAGAATAATTATAAGATTTTGGAACAGGGCACAGCATCAGAGCGCGTTCAGACTTCGCGATCGCGCGATCCGGCATCGCGCGGTCCAAGTCGCGCTACTGTGGGTGAAATCACCCGGGAGGGGGTCATGTCCGTTCAAGTTTATGGTTCCTGTTCTTTTTTTTTTCCTTTTCCTTCTTTCTTCCTTTGTGTACATCACCCTCCTAATTTTAAGGAACGTTTCGAAATATCTTTCGAGTTATTTATTATTTCCTATGTAAAATAGTACTAAATATACAATATGCTAATTATTATACTGAATTTTGCATCTGAGTACGTTCAAGCGGATAGTTGATACACCTGTTCCAAAAGTAAGAGACACGCAGAAATTTTAAACAGGCGGGTGATTGTTGTTCCTCGCTTCCCCGATTTTGCCAGTCCTCCAGATATTCACTTTACTTTTGTCACATTGTGTTTGCTTTGTTTGTTCTGCCATCCTCCAGGTCTATACACAACCTTTCCTTTCGACGGTTTCTGCAAATCGTCAGTATTGCGAATATGAACACGGCCTAAAAGACATCAAGGTCGACTCTAATATTGCGTTTTTGAGACTGCCTATTATTAGCAGTATACAGCATCGTTGATGTGAGAGAATGGTGATATCAAGTACGGACCTCCCTTCCCCGAGAATTTGCTTGTTTTGTTGGATGTTGAGTTAACATGAACGAACATGACGCCCCTCCCGGTGTAAATTCATAGGCCCACGAGTAGCGGCTGTCTCTGGCGAGAGAATCCATGGAATTTCCCATTATCTCGAAGTGTAGCTGAATATGGACATCTGCCTCTTCCATGAACTGTGAGAATATCCCTTTTGTCGTTGTGAAAAATTGCATTTTTGAAATCTGTGGCCCGCTGGAATTTCTCTTCAACCTGAGTCTTATGAGGAGCGAGGTGCGCCAAGAGGAAGAATAAGGTAAAGAAGAAAAATGAAAGAATGAATATGGAAAAAATAGATAAGGGGAATATCAATAAATGATTAAGTAAATAAAATAGAGTAAAATTGTGGAAACATTCCATAATCATACCTTTGCCCAAGAAGGAGCCTCTTTCATGTCCTGCCAATTACAGGCCAATTAGTCTAACCTCTATTTTCGCCAGAGTTTTTGAAAAAATTTATCAAAAATATTTGCTCGAGCACATGGAGAAGCACCACATTCCAACTGCGTCTCACCACGGTTTTTCCAGCGGGAGGTCCATTGAAACCTCTCTACTTTATTGTATGAATGCATGGTCTAAAGCTCTTGATCAAAAGAAAAATGTGGACGTAGTTACTTTGATTTCATCAAAGCCTATCGAATAGGATGACCTGCATAATTGTAATTCATAGAGCTTGCTCATTTGGTTTTCAACTCCTCGTGGTTGTAAAGTGATTCAGGATTTTTCCTTCTAACAGGAACAATTTCACAGTTCTGGTTGTGAGAGCTGCGTTTTGGAATCAAAACATGGCGTGAGGCATGGCAGTTGGCTGTACCTGCACAGGAGAATGTGCTCCCCCTGTATTGTTCAAATTTTCAGCGCTGTACTTGCCCGAATATTTTGACCAGCCAGGTGTTTTATGCCGATTGTTTTTTTTCGAAGATTTTTCCAAAAAGTTGTTCATGAGGTTGAATCTGACTGCTCTCTGCAATTGGCAATCAACAGGATAGTGGATTGGTCCAAGGCTAACGGTTTCCTCTTATCATTGGAAAAAACCCAAGTGATGCGTTTGGGTGAGCATCAATTGAATCCTAAGTATTTCGTGGAGAACGACGTCCTAAAGTCTGTGAAGTTAGAAATCTTGTTTTGGTATGATTACAAATTAAAGTTTAGTAAACCTTACAAGGCTCTAGTGGGTAAAGGTATGCGTCGGATCTACAATATTTTCAAAGCCCTCAGAACTTAAGAGTACGCCTAGCAACACTTTAACCGTAGCTTATAGACTCTATGTTCGCCCTATTGTGGAATGTGGGACAACTGTCTTCAATCCCCACTTGAAAAAGGACATCAAAGCCATTGAAAGTGTACAGAACAGTTTTACACGTAAGTTAATGCTCAGATGTCGCTTAGCTTATTCTCATTGTCTATTGGCACTGTTAGGAATTCCTCGTATGGTCTCAATCATTGGAATGAAGGAGGAAAAGATACGACTTACTCATGACCTTCAAAATTCTTAGAAACTTGTCAAATTAAATGTGTGAAGGACTTCATCAAATGTGTTGCCAGCCAGCACAAGGGGAGTTCCGTTTATTGACTATCAACACGGCTAGATATAGGTATAGGTCGAAGTTTTTCAGTAGTAGAGTGTGCTTGCATAACTTTCAATTCCTCTGTTCGTTCAAACATATTCCCTCTAAAGTATTCCACTTTCAAGAAACATGTTGGTGATTGTATTGAATAATTTTTACGTTATGGTTGTTTTACCTACTGCTGGATGTTCGAAACTTGTTTTTATTTTATTTTACATGTTGCTATGACATGTCCAATAAATAAATAAAATAAAATGGAGGGGGCGGGGCGTGTTTGGTCGCTGGAGAAGGAGTGCCGATGGGTGGCAATTTTTTTTAGAAAAAAATTCAAAAAAAGTTGAGAGACTGGTAAGGTAGTTGGGGGAACTTAGGAAGACGGTGGGTATGATACGAGAGGGAGATCGACATCCTACTCCCCCACATCGCAATACTGTGTCGCTTTAAGACTTTATAAAAGTGCCCAGATCATTGGAGCTGTGCCTATGAACCCTGCAGAGGCACACTGAGGACGCATTCACACACGACAACTTCGGAGAAATGAAGAAGTCGCGGATAGAAAAGAGTATGTGCATCGATTCCAGAAACCGCGGTATTGGAAGAAATGCAGAAATGCGGAATTTGCAAAAAAAAACCCCGAAATGACGGGCAAGCACTTGATGAGAACTGATCGCTTAGCCTCGCCACCGATTAGAAGAATGCCGATTCTGTGGGTCGGCGTTTCTGCATTTTCCCCAACTCCACGGTTTTGCAGATCTTTCTTCTACACGCAATTTCGTCATTTCTTCAAAGGCTGCCTCTTCTTTCTTAACTGTCCAAGTTTCTGCGTTTCTCCCCAGTTTTCGCGGCCTCTCAAGTAGATACGTACACTTTCTTCTATCTGCACTTTCATCATTTATTTAAAGGCAGTTGGCAAGATAAACCCCTAAAGAGGAGTATGGTTAATAGGCCTGGCAGGGCGGAATTCCGCGACCCTGAGCAGGCGCTGAGTAGCGCCTTTTGCAAGGGAGATATCCTTCTAAAGCCCTATCAAGCCACAACATTCCGACCCGAACACCCACCACGCCCCGCGGCCACCATAATTACTGACACCTGTTGCTCGCATATTGCTTTCAATTTGCTAACGTAAAATTATGAAGAAAGACATCGGGTGTGCAAGGAAGGCTGCGGTGCTGCATAGATTTTTGAGTACATATATGCACCTGTAATTACCGCGGCGTTATTGACAATATGCCTGCGAGAAACTCGTCCGAAATTGCTTTCAAAAAACAAAAGCTTTCCTTCGCACTCGACCATTTCACATCGTTTTTTCACCATTTTCCTACTATATGGCGCTCTGCTAGCATTTTAGGCCAAGTACCAAATTATCGTGCCAACCGTATTTAAACTCGTCAAGTATGAACGTGGACAAAGAGTGTGCAGAGGTCGGCTATGCAGAGCGCTCTGCGCAAGTAACTTCTGGACGAAAATTCAACAATGATGGACTATGCCCCCGCAAGAGTTCAAGTGGCGCAAAAATGATAAACAGCCACTATTCAAGACAGCACACTTCGCTCAAAACATGCAAAGAAAGCAAAAATTCTCACGAGCTACACCATCCTATCAGTGGATTCTCCCATCGCTGGCGATTATCGAGCTCGATCCTCCAAGCCTAAAAATGGAAATCAACAACTTTTGTAAAGGAATTGACGATGCCGTTGAAATGAGAGGAGCAGGTGGTCAGGAAAAATTTCAGGTCCAACATACTACTCAAAGTTTGGTCATGGATGACGTACCCGAAAAACCTATAAAAGCGAAAAACCAGTATCGCTCGATCCCCGGCTGCGACTATGTAAGAAAATGGTGGAAAAGCAGTTTAGTTGAGGGTACACAGTTGAGACTGCATTCACTAATCCAGGCTGGTTGTTTCAAATGAGGTAAAAGTCAGCAACAAGCAGTGATAGAGCAAAGAAGCAGGCCGTTTAGTCGACCGTATGCCATATCGATGCAATTCAAGTCCTCGTTGTGTTCTTTCCGGAAGCGCTAGGCTGCGTTCATACATCGGGATTCGGCGTTTTGGGATAACCAGCGTTTTTAGCTTTTCAGCGAAAAGTATAGCACGGATATCGACCGGAGCTCACATAGCCAATTTTCCCAAAACGACGATCCGCAATGTATGAAAGTAGTCTGAGATCGTTGGGATACTGACATTGTCCTTAATATTAAGGTGCTTGGGAGTTCTAATCAGGGCGCATCATCCATAGTGGATATCACATGAACCGAGTCGTATCTGGCCTCATTGGGAGAGGCCGCATTAGATTCAAATCATTGGCTGTCCATTTTTCCCGTCTCTCGCGCGATTCCCACCGCTCGAACAGCAAAAATTTGGGAAAATCTGATAAGATGAGAGGTCATATCCAGCAGAGATTTTCCACAACGCATCATGTGCCGTTGCTCTAATCCCACTTGTTTTGGACCCTGATAAAGGCAAAAAGCGGAACTTCAGGCGAATAAGTGTACGTCTAGACTGCACGAATTAATTGTCAGTGTGAATTACTTTGTTGCAAGAACTAAGCTCAAGCAATGTAGCTAATTACTCGATTAATGTAAAACAGAAGCAATGAGCGCGTCGAACGTTCTAAAACGAGACTTTCTGCTTTTCCCTGCACACTGCTTAGGAAAGCTTAGAAAAACTCACTTTGGTGTTTCCCCACGCCGTCTGCGGAGACTCTCGTGCGGGACGGAATATGCGGACAATACGCTCTTGCGTATGTTCCACAGGTCTTCCACCAATTTCTGCGGCTTCGTTGCCCGTCACGGTTACAGGAACCTCAAATGGCTAGATTCAAATGATAAAGGTATTGTGTGAAAGATCGTACAATACACCTTTGGAACAGATGGCGTTATAATGTCGTCTACGTCCTTTCGTTTAGCATCATGCAAACGAACAGTGGGCAAATCTTTGCCGGATGCGATGCTCCGCACCTGCACGTGCCGTGCAGCCATGTAGATCCCGGAGCGGATCATCTGAAAAATGTTGGACTAAGGCTGTCCGAATTAAATGAGGAGGTTTCAATGATCAGATGAAGGAAATGAATGAAATAATACACATGTACAAAAATCAGCACAAACCAAAAAGTACTGCAAAAGATTACTCACGGTGCGAAGCGACGGGAACCCCTGCTTGGTGAAACCCTCTCTTTATCAAGGTTTTGAATTTAACAAGATTCAACAATCTAATTTCAAGAAAGCCCTCCCTACAAAGGTCCCCTAGGCACCACCAATTCTAACAAACGAATAGCAATCGGACACAGCCATTCGATGAAAATTGTGCGCGAGTTTATGCGCTCCAGTGCAAGTTCACGCGGCGCGGCTTGCGCTGCGTTTGCATTTATTGCTTTTGTCCCTTTGGTTTTATTCTCTTTTTCTTTTTGTTCTCTATACACTCTGAAAGCCTGTTTATAGAGTTTGGTAATGTAGTTTGGGGTGTACTTTATCGGCTATACTGGTTTGGTTAGGTGCTGCAGCAAGCTAAATACACGCTGAGTTACATTGAAGGAAAAGTAAGGGAGGGCCAGAGAAGGGCAGAATCTGTCATGCTTTAGGGTTTGCAGAAATTGTATGGTAGTGCTCTTTTGTGAAGTCTATGCCCCATCTGAAGCAACTGGGACCGTTTACTGAGCGTGCAAGTGCAACATTTGAGTTCTACTCAATAGGAATAGGGTGTTTAGAACGAGTCTGCTCCCACTTTATTTTTCTCGAGCCCATTCCACCCACAAAAAAACATATTTCGGAGTGTTTTGGCTCATTCTGTGAGACTT